CAGCTTCCTTGCGGCTTTCACTGCCACGCATCATAACACGCCTCGCTCGCCAGTGGACTTGGCAGACAAACCAATAAGATGCCTACAGCACGACCGCCACCGAGCCCGGTTTCTCGCCATATCCTGCAGCGTTAACAGCTATTGGTCTGCGGCGTCGCGCGGCCCCCATCCAGGGAGTCTAACCCTGCCAACTGAAGCTAATCTACTTGTAGGCCCTTTCATCTGACGACTCCAGGTCGGTGCCTGACCCCCCACGTACTCTACGCCAGCTAGGATTGGGGGTAGCAAAAAGATAGAGAAGGTTAATGCTTTCCTTATACAATTATCTCATTTTCCTGACTGGTTTTCAGTTAATTAATGTGTTAATTTCATAGTTTGCTATGAACAAGGTTTGTAAAATATTTTCATGCATATAGCTTAGTTAGAAGGCCATAATACTTTCGAGACATTGCTATTTATCACATTTTAATATTTTGTGTTCTAAGCTGCAAATAAATACAAATTAAGTAAATACTAATAACACCCCTACTAAAAAAAATTGGGTTAACTTTCATTGTAACTTTGAAGAGCAAATAGTATTATGCTGACCAAACTATCATTGGTTTGGCTAGTATAATATTAAACTACATTTTTTTAAACAAAAGTTATTTTTAATCATATTTTCTGTCTATTGATATAAAAGTAATTTAAATTTAAAAATGAGACACATTCTAAGTTAGACGAGAAAAATTGAATAAAAACATTATTTAATAGCAGGAGCATGTTTCGGCCATACAGCTTACTGCAATATCACCAAGAGCACTAATAACTCAATGCTTTGTTTACATAAAACTTTCTTGCTGTGATAATTCGCTTTGGTGCTAATCTAAGCAGCAATAAATTTAAATAACCAGGAGACTTGATTTGTATTAGCTTTGGCTGTAAGAAGAAATAAAGCACCTCTTACAATATGCAGTCATTACTAAAAAAAAAAAAAAAAGGTAACTTAGATTTATTTCATACTTTCTTTGTGGTGGTTACAAGGTTGGCTAAATAGACCAAACCTGTATACAAGTTTACAGTAAAAAGAAAACAACATAAAATATAAAGTTTTAGTGAAAAAACAAATTTTGGTATTCATTCAAGAAGTTGTAGACGTTATGCAAATGAAATATGAAAACTTCAAAATGTATTTCTGATCTTAACATGAAAACACTCGGACTAGTCAGAATCTCTGACTCCATAAAGTTGCAGACAAATCTTTAGTAAAAATACTTAATTACAAAATCTGATTTTTTTGTGTAATGTTTGTTAAAAGCTTAACATTTTTTGTGAAGATACAATTATTACATTAAAGGTTGTAATATGAATGGTTGCATGGTCATTAAATGGTCAGTCAAAAGCCTTTATACAGAAAGTTAACACCTACTTACTGTGCTAATACCAGCACCTGTGTATGTTACAAGAAAGTCAGCATGTCTAATTGTTTCTGCTAGTTCAACACATTTTGCTCTTAACACATCAGGGGGATCTTCTATCTGTAAAAGAAAATATTAATATTCCAATATATATATATATTACTGTAATAACTAAAAAAGCAACCAGATAAAGATCATAACAAACAACTTTCATAATATCATGTAAATAAGTTAAAATAGTAGTTATCTGTCAGACTGGTGGTTATCCTGTCAAACATTCTAGGTACCAACATTTAAAACATGTTGCAAGAGGCCTGGATTTTTGAAAACAAGCTGCAATAAAAAATTAATATTTTTAAAGTAAGTCTTAGTCAACATGATAAAAACTTGAACTTTGAAGAATTATTTGGTGATTTAGAAATGCCAAATGTAATGGCATAAGAATAACCCTTTACAGTTATTTTACTAATATTTTTTGTAAAAGTAAAAACAACAAAAAATTCACTTGGTAATAAGAAACCTGATAAGCATACTACTGTTGGACTACGTGTATTCATTCTTTATACAAGTTCAAATGTTATAACTGCTTATCTAAATGTTTTAATTTTAATAATAAAACAATAATAATGCAAAATAAAATTAAAATTAGATTAAACTCACCTTTCATTTTTCATCGTGAAAATTAGACTATTTGTAAGGAGTATTCTGTCATTCATATGTTTTGTGAATGTTCACAAAATCAGATTCAGCAACAAAACAAGTCTTTAACTGAGACTTTCTGTGATAATTCATCGTCCAATGGATAAAGGTGACAGAGGTGAACCACATAGACGGTTTTAAAATATGTAAAGACTCAGTATTATTGCAAAAAATGTTTCTGAGTAAAAAACTTACCTCTTTCAACCTGTCCTTCAAAGATTTGTGCTTTATCATCTGTTGTTCTACTACCTCTACTACGTCCTGAAACTGATTGAGCACTTTGGTTTCATCTTCTGTTCTGTCACATCCAGCCTTTTTCAGGATGGCCCTCACCTACAAAGAAACAAAATTAAATTATTTATCATCAATGCTACTTTTACAAAACAAGAAACAAACATCAACTACAGGACTTTTGGTGTGTATTTCCCTAAAAATACAACATGGCTACATGTATAAATACAGTAGTAGTAGTAGTAGTACTACTACAAGTGAGCTTAGAACTAGAATGTACTGATTACATTATTTAAACCCAATTGGTATTGGTAATTGTAACTGGTTCTAAAATTTGGGCTCTAATATGTTGTCTTGTTATTTTAGTAATAAACGTCCAAAAATATTCTATTCTGTGAAAACAGTTTTAATCTGATCTAATAATAATAATAATAATAAAAGTATCGTAATAAATTGATAAGAACATTAGTCTCCCACAAGTTTTTCTTTGAATTGTATCTTCAGTATCTTTTAAAATCGTCTGACTTTTCCACCAGCAAATGGACGAACATAAACTTTTCAAACGTTAATTATATATGTTTAACTTTACACCTAGACTACATTTCCAGAAAACCTTCTATCATATACTATGTCCAAAGTAACAATTACTGACCCTTTTAAGTTTCACAGTTTGTTCTTCCTTCATCCTAATTCTTTTCAGATCTGCAGACTTTCTTGCTTGTCTCTTAGAAACAAATCCTTCTTCAACAGACATTACGAAAAATTTCCCTGAAGAATCTTGTAACACTAATAGACAATTGAATCTATTTGATCTCTACCTAATTACAATATTATAAATGTTCTTTAGCGCCACCTAAAATTAGGCTTAAAATAAATAAGCTATAACTTAAATTTAGGCCTAAAAAGTAATGTTTCTACACATTGGTCACTTTTCCTTCTTGGCTTTTTTTTATGGCACCAAATAAAATCAATGACGTTCAAATAGTATATAAAAGTCAAGATTTATTTACAGCGCTATTCATCTGGCCAGCAACATTTTTGTTTTTTTTACATGAAAAAAAACTTGAAAACATACTTGACAACGTACAGCGCCATCTAGAATTGTAAACTTATGTGGTTTATATAAACAATTTCAAATAAAACAGTGTCTCGTTGTCATGGTTAGTAACTTATACGATCTCAATTTATTATTGTTAATGATTAATAATTAGACTAACGTAATCGTACAGGCTATTAATCAGGAAAACGATTGATATCCGTTTACCGTAAGTCCTCTCTCACTCTCTAAATATATTCATAATTTTACTTTTTGTAATAACAAATTTTGATATTTATGAAGATAAGTGTTTTCGAACAAGAAATCATACAGGCGCCAGTCTCACTTTCCTTGCTGTTGCTAAGACTATGACCGAGTATGGTACTTGTTTAATAGCTTGAATTTGTAAATTTACAAGAATGGACGTACGAATTAAGTAAAAAATGTTCATAGTCGATACGTATAAAATTCGCATTGAAATAAAAATTTCCACCATACATCTATAAATATGTACAACTAAAAAAACAGCATATTGCCATTAGGTTTACCGTATATCTTGCTTGATTCTCAAAATTAAGTTTTTAAATTTAATCAAATCTTATAATATTTTATCTTCTTATAATTCGCAAGAAAACAACAACAATATTTAATTATTTTTCGGAATACTGACAGACCTCTGACAGACTTAGTTATCATAAGGGGAAGTAAGTTACATAAATGCTTATAATCTAATACTTCATTTTATTTACTTAATACATGTAGATAATTATTAAAGTGAGACTTTTGCACATCTGAACCTGTACCGAGGTAAAGTCATCGCAGTAAGTTGTTTTTAAAAATAATGTTTCGTTTTCATGATTACATAATAACATATACATGTATATCTACATTGCATTATACGAACTTTTAGGCATCCATTACACAGGCCTGCAAATCTAAACTTCATAAAAGTTGTTCTGGTTTTAATAACGGATTTTCCATAATTCAGCTACGCAGATTTCGAAAATAATATTCTTTTTTTTCTATCACGTAACGATTTTGTACAAATCGGGAAGAAAAAACTCTTAGTTAGATCAAATTATTAATTTGTTTACTACAAAGAAAATTTTTTTATTATTATCAAAACGTTGTACTTATTCTAATATTCAACTACCCGCTATAAACTGTCAACAAATTTGAATATTATTATTCGGGGGTAGGGGGGGGGGGAGAAAATAACCCATGTATTATCACTAACTATTGTTTTCCCACACGTTGAAACATTCAATTTTGAGGGAAAATTTAAAGACTTATTATCCTCAGTTTAAAACAATAATTTGAATCTTAACTTATATTGTAGAACCTGTTTAATATTAAAGGCTGTGGACCGATGTTACAAACACCACCCGTTTATTATTTTAAATGTACTTCCCCCCCCTTCAGTGGCACAGCGGTAAGTCTGAATGCTCATAACGCTAAGAACTGGGTTTCGATACCCGTTGTGGGCATAGCACAGATAGCCCATTGTGTAGCTTTGTGCTTAACTACAAACAAACATTATAGATGTGTCAAAAGTCAACTGATGTATTTTGGGAGTAGTAATCGCCATGTAGGCGATCGTATAAAAGAACATGCCAGAAACTCGTCGAATAATTACACAGGCATGCGATGGTTTTATAGTCTTGAAATTTTTACATGTTCTACAGTAATTCCTGTACGCTGAATCCGAAAATGATATCATTTTTCTCCATCACGTACAGATTTTTCACAAAATGTCGTAACGCAATACATAAAAGAAGAAGGATGCATATTCGTTTGACATCAATGTTCTTCCCTTTTCTTCAGTTTGTTTGTATTTTTGTTAACAAACACCCATTAGTGCGGTCATTTTCCAGTACCAAACAGAGAACAAATTTGTTCGCTTTCTCTCAAAAGTTTATTTATAAAAATTAGTTGTTAGACCGTCAATGCAGTATATTATTAGATGACCAAGTTTATATATAAAAACAGTTGTTAGACCATCAATGCAGTATATTATTAGATGACCAAGTTTATTTATAAAAATCAGTTGTTAGACCATCAATGCAGTATATTATTAGATGACCAAGTTATTATAAAAACAGTTGTTAGACCATCAATGCAGTATATTATTAGATGACCAAGTTTATTTA